AAACTTATAACTTTACCGGTACTCGATATCAATCTTTGCCTTAACTAAAGTTTACTACTGGAATTTTCCTGCATCCGACATCTTAGTTTAATTTTTGTCTGATTATTCTTACCATGAAATGATTCTAAATGAATTCGCTTTTTTTTATAGGATAACGGTAAGTTCGTTCAGGTCTTATGGAATAAAGTGATGCCATCATCACCGTCATCTAGGGATGTATTAGGAAAGAGACGAAGTATTGATATCATTGCTATCATTCTTCAAATATTTTTACTAACCATCAAGCATGGAAGAGCTTATCACCAGATGGGAAATCCTATTTTCGAATCTTAGCTGATATGTATCTTCAAAATCATAAAATCAAATACCCTGATTACAACAAAAAAAAGAGATCATCAAATTTAAAAAAGAAGCGCAAAAAAAGAAAAAAAACGAGGTCAGATCCTAACCCGATGCTTACAAGGTTGCATAAGCAGAAGCGTACAGAATGGGCCAAAACCATATGAATGATGACTGGAATCGCACTCTTTTTTTCAGACGAAACATCCTTTTGGTTATTTAGTATCAATGTGGAATATTGGTATAAGGGTCAGCGGCCGGTTCGTCGCATCCCAAAGGACCGGACAAGAGTCAACGCATGGGGTGAATTTTGTAATCGGGGCAAAACCAAATGTCATTCACAATATATATTTCAAAAAGAAATAAATTAATTAATTAATAAAGAAATATGCATCTTGGCTAAACAGCTGATCAAATAAATATTAAATAAGATGAGTTTCTCGTATTACCACCCTCAAAGAATATATTCACATGATCGATACACAAAATGCCAACTACTAATATTGACCGATAAGGAAAAACCTTTTTCTCACTTAGGATAGATAAACCATCGTGAGCAAAATTCATTTATTAAATTTGGCAATGATGATTTATTAAAAGTTTCGCTTCAAGAAAAAAAAAAAAGATTTATGTTTCTTTATTATAACAAATTATAAAATAAAAAACTTTCAAGTTATAATTCAACATTATCTTTTTTTTTCGGCTCCTTCTACCATTCCTTTGAGGTAACTGTATGTATTTTATGAATATAAAATATTTAAAATGCTATTCTTTTTTTTTTTTTTTTAAATGTCGATTATTGCTATAACTCTACCAGCACAAGAGGTCCTGCATCTCGGATTAGTTAAAGTCGATATTGCTTGCATCGAACTTGACTTGTCAAAAAAGCAATTATTAAAAAAAATAAAGCAACGCGGTGCAAAAAAAAAAAGCAGGAGGCGTAAGATAATTTGAATGGAAAAAAGTTAACCATCTTTATTTGCTTCACAAGGTTCTCATTGAATACAATTAAATGTAAAAATAATAATAACGATCAATAATAATAATAAGAATAAACGATAATAAACTAATATAAATTTAAATTTATAAATTTCCACGATTGTCTTGATCACGTTCAATAGCTTCAAATAACGCCTAAAGAATTTACAAATTTTATTAAAAATCCACGAGAAAAAAAAATAAAAGGGCCGCTGAATGAATTAGTCACCTTAAAGTTACCAGCGCCAAAACCTTGATGATTACGACGTTGAATTATTTCAATGAACAAGGTAGGACGATCTTGGAGCGGTTTAGTGAATATCTATTTTTTTTTTTACAAAAAATAAAGTAATTTGTCAACTGAATTCTCCTCGTACGAAGTTAAAAAGGATAAATACCAATTTATTTGTTGTTTTATTACCTGTAATAAATAACCTTCTTCGTCGTAATCAACTAAAATATTTAATTTTTGTAAAGTTGCAATGTCCTCTAGAATCTTTGTACAAGAAATTTGACGAAGATTATCATAATACGTAGCGGGAATGGTTAAGAATTCCAATCCACGAGCACGAAGATTTGTTACACTTGTAATGATACTATAATAATAATAATTGAATTAATGACAATATTAATGCGATGCAAACTGCAACATGTAAAAAAGAAAATTACTTACTCTTCAGTTCTCAATGCGATATGTTGAACCCCTGCACTTCCTGATACATTTAATTGCTCAGTTAATAAAAATTACGATAAGGTTTCTCCTTAGTGAAGTCACGTGATGTATACTTACCATAATAATCAATAAATTCTTGAATTTGAGATTTCCTTCTCCCAATTGCTGGTTCATTTACCGGCATTTTAATTTTCTCATGGTAGTCAGCCATGACGACGGAACGTAAAGAAGAATACTCTGTATGGATTTGTTTATCGTCAACTGACCAAAATCGGTGAAAATTGAAAACCTTTTCATACCTAAAAAGAAGAAGGAAAACCGGAAAATATTATTAGAGAATACGAAACAAGATAATTTATATTTTTATAATGCATACATTTCACAAATTTTATCCATTTCAAGATCAGGTTGATTACCAACAACGTGATCTAGATAACTTAAATTTGCAGGTGGTAAATTGTCTTCTAAAGGATCCTTGAAATTTAGGCGATGAAAATTTGGTAAGAAGTCACCATGGTAATTCTTTCTTTCAACAAAAGTATGTACGGTATCACCATAAGTTCCAACAGTAGCCATTATAACTACACCATCTTCATCACGTTCTTCCCACGGTTCTTTAATTGATTTACCACCACGTTGCACGCAACTTTTCCAAAGGCTTCTAGCATCATCTACTGTAAATGCCACATCCTTTACACCGTCTCCGTGAAGACTTTGATGTTCGCTCATTATTTTATTATTCGGATTTAGTGCGGATTGAAATACAAAGGTTATTTTTCCTTGTGTAACGGCATGAGAAACGACATTTCTTACTCCTGTTTCCAATCCTTGATATCCGATATGCTTAAAACCAAGCCTAGTACAATAAAATGATGCAGCTATATAAAGTAAAAAAGTTATCACGATTTAAGTTATTTATAACGAAAATGAAATCCTCGAATCGAAATTCGACATATCAAATACATCGAATTACCTTGCTTGGCATTGCCGACCCAGAATTTTACATGATCTATAAACGACAAATTTTTATAATTTTTCAATTATGAACTTAGAGTTTATTTTGTGTATAATTTTTTTTTGCAAACTATTTTATTTGCAGAAAAGATGCCGATAAATAAGCCGTTAACGTACCAAATCCTTCATAATTTGCAAGATCGAGTTTAGGTCCTTTGTTTTCATAGGAAGTCATCTTTTAGAATAATTTAAAGATCCTTTTGTTGAAAAGAAATGAGAAAAAAAAAAAATACTTTTGTTAAAAGTGAAAAAAAAAAACCTTTGTTACAAGGTAATTATATATGTAATTTCCCTTTTATTGTGATATGTATAAATTCTTATTTCCCACGCTTAAACCATGTCGTCATACATGTACCCTGAAGCTCCCTTTCTCACGCTCATTAATTAGCTAAACAAATATGCACTTAATAATATCATTTAATTTTGATTGTCTTGTCAAATGATTGTTGATCAAAAGTGTAAATTCAATTGAAGTCGTGTGATTTTTATCTTCATTAGAATTAATTAAATTTATAAATGTAAATCGATTAAAAATTTCATACGTAAAAAATAGAAAAATCATAATCAAATATAGTATTTCTCGACATCATGTAAAGTATAAAAACAAAAATTGGAGAAAAGTACTATTACTTGGCCAAACTTATAATTTGGCTCTTAATACCAAGATCGCCGCAAAAATCGATTAGATTTGTAGTAGGTTGAAGTGTCTAATAAATATGAAAATCACCATTAATATCATTAAACTATTAAATTCACTTGTTTGATGAAAACATTTGATGTTTTACCCCGTATATTGCTCATTCCTTGGATACCTCCAAAGTTAACATAACCTTCTTCGTTTACTAAACCGTTTTCGGAAGCGGTAGAATCTTCTACCCACTCGCCTCGACAGTAAACGCAAGTAACCTAGATCAAAGATAAATTATGACTAAATAACCAAATATTTTATTAGTATAACATAAGAGTATTGCTTACTTTTCCGCTCCCACCACGTTTTGATTTCTTCCATTGTTCGAAGCAATCCTTGTGAAGGTTGTTTCCGCAACCTTCTTGGCACCATACGATATTATCGCGATCCTTTTCTTCCAAAGGTTCATAGCTATCAATATGAATTAATGAACGTTAATGGCGCATTTTTATTCCAAAGATAATCTTCAAAAACAAGTTAATAGGCATACCAGATAGGGCAATCTCCTTCGATTGGCCGGCGTTTCTCATCCGTGCTACTTTCAGCAGATGATTGAGAACTCTCTCCTGTAGTAAGCACTTTATAATGTTCACGAACTTTCTGGCTAGCCTATAAATAAGGTGTTTAATCATACATTAATTTAATAATTTAATGTTTTAAAAAGCATAGATCGCACGTTTACTTACCAAAATAGTCGGGTCTGGCGCAGCATTCGCAAAGATTGAAAGTAGTTCTTCAGATAAGAGCGCCTTTTGATATATATAGGGGCTTTCTCGCTTTAAGCGTAAAACTCTTAGATAAACAAAAATCTAAAATTATACATTGAAGTATTAGTAATTCAAAATTTTGAAATTAAAATTCGCTCATGTCTTGCCTAAGTTATATGTACAATATGTTTACAAAGATTGCGCTTCATGAAATCTGGGCAAGTGCAGTTCGGCAAATGTGAAATCGTGATAGTGTAAACCTGGTGATTTTTTTTTAAAAAAAAAATTAAAAGATGAATATGATGAATGTTTAGAAGGAAAAAAAATTATAAACCATACGTTTCCAGTTGAACCCAAGATAGCAAATTCTTGTTTTAATTCGTCAATTGTAGATCGACTAACCATGTACATACGTTGTGATTCAGCGCGATAAATACGATCATGAATAGGCTGCAAAAAAAAAAATGGGTTAAAAACTATGCTATCAAATACATAAATTATTCAAATTACTCACAGCAGGACAGACGTGTCTGAAACGAGCTAACCGTTTCTCTACAAGAGGTTTTTCGGGTTTTGGCGCATTCTTTGGTTCCGCAACATCAACATCATTGTTTTCAGTATCAGTTTTATCACAAAGATCAGGAGCTTCCTCTTTATTAGTGATAGCGGGTTCTTTAACAGATTCTGTCTGTGCTGTTAACTCTTTATTTTTACGTCCACGTTTAGAAGGTTTTTCTTCTATTACCTTTTCATTCGTTTTTTGATCGCTACCCGTTGCTTGTTCAGCTGTGATATTATCTTCTATGACTGTTGCCTTTCGTTTACGACCGCGTTTCGGAACCGTTGTTTCATTAGCAGTTTCATTAGCAGTTTCAGATAAGTTAACTGTAGCTGAAACTATTGTATTTTTTGGCTTCCGTCCGCGTTTCGGTCGAGCAATCTCAGTTAAATTTGATCGAGAATCAGACTCTACAGCGGTCTGTTTTTTAATAGTAGAAGAGCGAGTAGTAGGCTTTTGCAATGAAGTTCGTCCGTTTGTACTCATACTCGTTTTCGTTTTCGTCATATTTGATACGAAAAAAAAAAAGTTAAGAACGCAGAAGTTGGTTCTTTAAGGATTCAAATGTTTTTAATCGCAAAATTTGTAAAAAGATCCGGGGCACAATGATGTGTAATTTCTGGTTACAATACTTGATTTATAATTTTTTTTTTTTTACGCCTTATTTATTTTATACTTATTGTATATTAGATAAAAAATAATTAGATAAATAAGAGAGTATGTTTGTTTTGTAGGAGGTTTAAATTAGACGTGTTTTTTAAAAAAGTGATTAACGCGATTTCTGATTGGATAATCAGTTTTATATCAGTTTTTTTTTTTTTTTTTTTTTTTAGGATTTCTAAAAACATGGAAGAAATTACAAAATTAATTTCAAATAAATTAAATTCATTAGGATTTGATTTAGTAAAACCCTTCCCAACACAAAGGTTACTAAATAAATTATCTAATATTTAAAGAGTTTTTTTTTCTAAATATTTTTTTTTTATTTTCATATTCTAGATATAATGAAAATTTGCCGGCAAACTGTAAATATGAACCTTTGCCAACCTTCTCACAAACAAAATCGACTTTATCAATTCTTGTAGGAAACACTAAATATCTTTGGCCAAAGTTTTTAAAATATTATTACACCGAAATCTTCACTCGATATAGTCATCCACGCTATACAACTTCAAGTAATCACTGTGCGAGTTCAACAAGTTATTCCGAAGGTAGTGATAATGAAGAATATAAACAACAAAATCCGTTGGATTATTATACTAGAGTAAGCATGGAGTCAATTATTGAAGAAATAATTCAAGTAAATAATTTAAAATATGATGTTAGATATCCATTTGATTTAAATGAAAAAAGATTTGTCGCATTTCAAGTCATGGCGGAGAATGCATCACTTGCCTATTATAACAGAGTTTGTTTTTTAAATATTCACGAAGAATATGGACCTTGGATTGGCTTAAGAGCTGTAATTACTCTTGACATGGAAGGTCCTCCTAATTCTTCTCAATTATTTCCTGAATTAAAAAATCCTTTTCCTGAAGGTGATAAAATATTGGAAAGAAAGCTGTCAGAAATTTTTGGCTCAAAGGATCATTATTATCATCAGCAACCAGATGATCCTGAGACAATGGATGTCAATCAGAAAGATGGAAACAACATTTCGGATATGAAATTGGAAATAAAAAATGAATGGTATAAATTTGTTGAATTGAGAGATATTGCTTCTAGATTCATGGATAAAAAATCACTAGATAATTGGCGATATTCAGAAGATCAAATGGAATATCATTATACAAATAATATTGAATTTTTAAATAATTTGTTCAATTAATATCACAAAGTAATTAATTTAACACGTAAAGAATGTTAAATATATCACAGTAATTAAATATATAAAAAAAAATATCGATATATAAAGACACGATAAAATCCTCATTATATATCACATGACCACATTTTGAAAAAAGAAATCTATACATTTAAAGAAAAAATAGCCCGGATTTGATCTATTCCCCCATCATACATCTTAAATCTAACCATAGATGAAACCAAATATGTAATGGTTAAACGCATAAGGGTTGACAAGCTCAGACAAACTTTGTCCAGCCTCAGCAATCACGCCCCCTTGATTAAAGATCTTTGGGATAATAAGCTAATCTCCCACAGTATTGAAGGTACAAGGGAGGGCCTTTGGCTAAAACGTATTAATAAAGTTCGCCCCACAATTCGGGCTTATATTTTTATTTGTTTTGCGAATGTGTATGTAATGCATTTGAAGTAATAAATAATTTCGTATATTTACCTTGCGAAGTACTGCGCTATAAATTATCACTTACTACGCCACACGACCAGTGCTTAAAATAGTACTTTAAATTCCGGCGAAATCCGGAATTTTTAAAGAATCCCCGATAAAAAATTTCATGTCCCGATATTTTTTATTAGTTAAAAAAATTCTATTCATTATGTCAAAGCCATAGAAAAACTGATACAAGTAAATTTAAAAAAGAAAATAATATGTTTTTGTTCTTGGATTGGTTTGTAAGGAAAGATTTTATATTAAAAAAGATATATTTCAAGCAATTGTAAAAAAACAAAACTAATATCTTTATAACTCACTCGCTTGGAAGTTCTACTTCCACTTCAAGTGGTCCGATGGGTAAAAAGCTTATTATTGTTCTTCCGGGAGCTACCTTATCACTAAAATTACCGTCGATACTAATTAATTTGTTATTGACGGTTGAAATTATAAGATCTGCCTTGTTCGCGACGCCGGGTGTGTGCAAAATTTTAATATATGCGTGGCTTTATAATAAAGTATAACAAATAGACTTTATTATTGAACAAGACAAAGTCAGACACTAGTTAATAGATACATACTGACTTTACGTTTTCTAGAGTTTGTGTTCTTATTCTTATTGCTGATCTCGTTCTCGTTAATCTTCTCATTACTCACATTGCTGATCTCGTTAGTCTTTAGTTGCCTGGCAAAACTCTCGGGGTCATTGGCAAACTGTAATAAAACCTTATTGGCAAACCCGTCGAAACTCGAAACCATAATAAAATCCCGTCAAAAGTCAAAACAATATTAAATACTTATTAACAAATCCGTCGAAATATAGGGTTTCGACTTTTGCCATTTGCTAAAATGAGTTTTGCCAGGCAACTATACGTTAGTCTTATTATCATCCTAAATACACAAAATAGTTTTTTATTATATTATTAGAACCGCCAGATTAATTTCATTTATAATAATAAATAATAAATGTTACCAATTTGTATTCGACTTTTCGGCTGGTATTAAAGTAAGTTGCTGCGCGGAACTTCATTGGTCCTCTTTTCGTCATCAAAATAATAAGGTTTTTCTTTCGTGTGATGGAAGAATTCTACCGCCTGTTTTCGTGTTTCAAAGTGAACAATAATGAGTAAATAATAATCGTTTATAATTTATCCATCTTCCTTCTTGTTCACGTGAACGAAATTAAGTTTCGTTGCAACTGTACATTCACTGATAAGTACTTAAAAAAATTTATTTATACATGGGGTCTAGGATAATTATGCAATTTTAATCTCTTTATAGTCGAAACCCGTTATGTCTCCTCCAACCATTACAGAAAGTTCCGGCTTTCCACAGCACACTATATATAAAAATAATAAAAATTATAACAATTCTAACACTTCCACGAAGGAAGGGTGATAACACAACTTCTTCAAATGCAAACACTTTATAGAAAACTGTTATAACTTACCTCTTGACATTGCAATATTAACGTAAAGGAAAAAAAAATTATCAACGCAAGGAAAAAAAAATATCAGGAAAAAAATATCAACGTAAGGGAAGAAAATATCAATGTAACGTGTTGTTGATTAGTTACCACTCGACGTCATCCCAGTATCACCAACCCCACGTGATCAATTTGCCGATCTTTCCTAAAAATAAAGATAAAACCTGGTGCAAATATCATTATCTTTTTTATCTTTTAAACTTATATATTATACGTATTTTATATCTGATCTACAAATTTACTTAGGCAATAAAAGTAGGTTTACATATACAGATTTGACTTTTATATAACCGTTTTTAAATGATTGATTTAACAAAATTTGGCATTCTAAAATCTTTTTTAAACTCTAAGTAAACTTGCAGAGTGTAAAGAATTAAATATAAATATTTAGTTTTGAGATTAGATAACGTCTATAATAAGTTTTATTTAACAAAACAATAAAACATTTTCATTAAAAATTTATTTGGATTACTATTTTTAAAAATAATCGGCAAATTTTAATCACATGAGTAAAAAATTGTTAGTAATATTAGAAAAGGAGCATCCTTAACCTAATATGAGATGTAGACCTTTATCCTAAACTAAAGTATATGATAAGATCTAATATATATAAATAAGAGATTATTTTTTTAATTTTTTTTTTTACAGCTCATTTCATTTACTACTCCATTTATTGTAAATTCATTTTAAAAAAGTAAGTTATTTCTTTTTTACAGGTTTTATTTTATTTTATTTATTTTTATTTTATAGTTGAACCAATTTTTTAAAAATAAAATATACCAAAATATTTTTTATTGAAAACTTATGATAAAAATATAATAAATAAATAAATATTCAAATACTATTTTGTTAAGATAGTCTATTGTTATAGCAAATGCTTTATAGTTATAGAAGCTTACATAGCTGTTATATTCTATTAGTAAAGATATAGTAAAATGTAAATTATGTATTTAATAAGTTTATTTTTGCTCAATAAATAATCATTTTTAACAAAAAAAATAAATCATATATTTTATTCAATAATAAATCTTCTAAAATAAAAAAAAGTTGTAAGAAATATTTTCTTCACTTTTTCTTTAAAACACTACACTAAATACTGTAAAATTTGTTTAAGTCAAGTATTTCTTTATTATATTTTTCTTTGAAAATATCGTGAAAAGATATATGTAATATAAATAAATCAGACCAATAAAATTCATCAAATCTTATAGTACATCCCAGTTTAGGATAAAGGTCTACACTTCCACCTTAGGTTAAGGATACTCCTGAAGAAGATGCAATATCACAGCTATATCATATGATACGTTCACTCAAAAAATTTAGATCTTGTATTGCATATAATTAATTTTGAATTAGATCATTCAAATTAGAAAAAAAAGTAACAAATCAAATCATAGTTATAATTGAGTACAATTTATACAGCTCAATCAAATCATATTGTAAACAATAAATATGGTTGGTTACTAGTACGTAGGGTAGCCCATTTTCTGTGATAACATAATATACGCAAAAATTATGATTTTTCACAATAGCATATGCTGTCATAGATTTAATTAAGTCTGCCTTTTTCACATATTATATAGCAAATCTGCAATTAAGATTTATAGATTAAGATTGTAATGTGAGATATTCGTCATTTTTTTACCATCTCTTTTTTACAATAGTTTCAGCAACTGAGCGTAGACTTGAAAACTCAGAATATAAAAAGAATTTTTATGTTGATAGGCAAAAATTGTTTTGTGAATTTTGCCAAAATATTTTAAACCATAAAAAAAATCTACATTAGATATACATTTAAAATTGAACAAATATAAAAAAAATGTATCTAAAGCTGAAAATAAAATAAGAGCTCATCAAACCACTCTCAATGCTAATAATAATGAGTTAAATGAACGTGAAATCTTTAATACTGCTTTAATAAAAGCATTTACATATGTAAACATACCACTTGAAAAAGTAGATAAACTTAAGAATTTTTTTTTGAAATTTTGTAAAAATGGTATGTAAAATCTATTTTATATTTAATTTATTATTTAACATATTATTAATTCACTAATTATATTATAAGTAGAGCTATTGCAGACTTTTCTTTATTACGAGAAAAATATTTGCCAATTGTCTTTAATATGAAAGTTTCTAGTATGCTAGAAATAGTATATAATAGGCATATATCTATTATTATTAATGAAACAATGGATATTTGTGATCAGACAACTATTAATATAATGTTTAGTTTTGATAACCAAACTAAATTAGTCAAAACAGAATTTTTGGATGATACTGTTAATAGTACTATTATTGCTTAATTAGTTATAAGAACCTTACAATTTTATAATATTTCTCATGATAATCTTATTTTTTTTATTTTTAATAATGCAGCATATATGATAAAAGCCTTTCAAATATTATCTCCATTAATTTCCCAATTAAAGCATAACTGTTGTTTAGCTTATATTTTAAACTTAGTTGGAGAAATATAAGTTAGTTATAAAAGTTTCAAATTTCTAATTAAAATTATAGCAAATATAAAAAAAATTCTTCATTCATTATCCTACTCGTAAAAAAAGATAGACTGTTTTTTTAAATTCCTTTATTTCTTCTACTATAACTCCTTCTAATCAAAATTCAATTACATTATCATCTTTACCTGTGAAAACCTGTTAAAACTTATAGTTTAAGTTTATTTTTTAGATTAACCAACATATATCACAATTATGTAAATTTTATATTAAAAAAGAAATCATTAATGAGAAAAGTAGAGCTATTCAAGAATTGGCAACAATTTTTAAAAATTCAGTATATGTTTTTAAATTTGAAATTTTAGTTATATTTATTTCATTTAATACAAAGTGGTGAGTTAATTTTTATTCTTTATTTATATTAAAAAAAAATATATACAAATCTAATTTATATTTATTTATATAGTACTGTAGATGATCTTGAATTTTTTAAAATTAGAAATAAACTTATTGCTTCTTTTATGACTTAATGCTTGATATATCTTGAGGCTACATTACAATCTGACATTATTTAACTTTCTTTTAGTAAT